CCGGAGCGGTCATTGCTGCACGTTCAGCGAGCAACGCTAGTTACAAGGTCAGAGCGCTAGATCAAGCGTTCGCTAAATTACCTACATCAAGGGATCTCTACGCCACCTCCCAGTCCAATCGAGCCTTCTCACTGCTCGCACCTTCGATTGCTCCTACCACTCAATACGCTCCATCAGCGGTTCCGACGATCGCCACTCAAAGCGTCAAAGTACCGATGCCAGCCTCCATTTCGGTTGTCGCTCATAGGCGTCATGCCATCTCCACTATGCCTGGCTTGGGTAAAATAGAATTGCCAGCAGGTGACGCTCCCGCTGCAGCGCCAGTGGTAAACACGGGCGTTGAGCAGGGTTCCCAAGCCGTAGCGAAGCCCACACCAACCGTGTGGTTTGCCAGCCGGCAAACGCCTCCCCATTTAGCTACTACAGCACCTGAACAACCACCAGCTCCAGCCAGCAGCGCGCCTTCGCGTTGGACCAGCTATCAGTTCAAAGATAATCGCCCGATACCATCGCCCAGCGATGATGATCTAAGGTCCCCTGGTGACCCTCCCTCAGGAGGAGGTCCCCCTGACGACGACCCGAGTAACAACGGTCCAGGCGGCGGTGGTCCTAATGGCGGCAGCGGCAGTCCCAATGGCGGGCCTCCTGGCGGCCCTCCAGGAGGAAGCGGAGATCCTTCTCCTGGTAACCCTTCTGGATGGACGGGGTACTCACCCTTCCCTTACTCCGATGAGTGGCAACTGAATCACAAGCTCAACTCATCGGTAGTACCCGCGTGGGATGGTCATGGCTCCACCGCCATCGACTATATCAGTTCTATGTCCTTCCTAGCTAGGATGAGCGATAAAATGAAGGAAGGTGTAGCCGCCATGGCCCCTTATAAGTGGTCAGGCCGTGCAAAGAGCTGGTGGGAATGTCTACCGTTGACTGACCAGACGTACTTCCGTCAGGATTGGGAACACATGATGATCGGTCTCCGTGTCCAGTTCCTTGATCTACGTTGGTCGCGTGAAAGGCTTTACGAGTTCGAAGCCATGTTCTTCCGTCAAAAAGGGCATACCAACGAGGATCCAATTGACTTCATACAACGTAGAGTTCGTCATCATATGTTCCTCCACCCGGACGATCTGGACGGTCCAGGTGCGGTTGACCGCATTCTGCGTAACCAACCCATTGAATGGGAAAAAGACCTCAACGACGTGAATTGCCCGTCTATTTTCGCGCTGCAAAGCGCGGCCAGTCGTCTAGCCACCAGCCTCATTAACGATTGGCAAAGCAGCGAGATTCGCGCTCGAAATACGGCAGCAGGCCATGGAGACAAACCAGCTGTCCCAGGCAAGGGGCGTTATGGGCGAACCGCGCATGTTGCTTCCTCGGATCCTCCCGTTGAATCCCCAGCCCTAATTAAGGATGAAGGCAGTGACTCAAGCACTGACGAGAGCGCTGAAGTTTATGCAGCAACGTTCCGTAAACGCAACGAGAAGAGCGGCACGCCCAGTTCTTCAAAGTGGCCAAGGGGCAAAGTTATGAACGGCGTCTCCTTTCCAAGGGATGATAGCGTTAAAAGTGCTAAACCCCCTACCAACGGCTCTTGCTTCATTTGCGATAGTCCTCACCACTATGCCAGAGACTGTAGTCACTACGGAAAGTGGGATGGTCTCCGTAACGCCAATTTGATAGACGTAGATTTAGATCACGAGCTAGAGGCCGCACACGACAGAGAGTATTTAGCTATGATTGTTGAAACACAGGCTGAGGCCTCTTCTTCCGCTTATATCGCTGGACTGAGTAAGACCTCGAAGGAAGCGTTCTGCATGAGCGCTGAACTTACTGGAGCAAAAGCTTTGCACGCCAAGAAGACGTTCATAAGGGATAACCGAAACGTTCGCCGACGAATGGCAAATGAGTCCAAGGGCAAGGAAAAGGAAGATTCCCCAACTGAGGAATCAGTTGTTAAACAATTACCGAGAGCTAAGCGTCGCCTAAGGGACAGCGCTACGCCTCCTCCTTATTCCTCTAGTGCTAATAAACCCCCTCCTTATGCAAATAATCACGATCCTGGGGAAATCTTTGTAGCGCCTAAAGGTCGCTCTTTCCCTGAAGGATTAGGCTCTCTAGGCACTCGAGCTCTTCATGCTCGAGCCTTCATCGCCTCAACAAAAGGAGAAGTCGTGCAAGCTCGATTGGACTCTGGCGCGGATATCACGCTGATGTCTGAGGACTTTTGGTCTTCCATTCCTGGGCTTCCGAAGCCTAAAGAGGGGTTACGAATGAAACTCTACCATCTTACAGGGTCTGCGAAGGTGCTAGGGTACATACGAACCACTCTGTTCATGCCCACGGAATCAGGAGCATTCGTCAGTTTCGATCTGGAAGCTTACGTAGTCCGCAACATGCGAGTTCCACTGCTATTGGGCGAAGACTTCCAACGACGTACGAATTAGGTGTGACTCGGTACGCTACGGGTCATTGCGACGTTCACGTTGGGCGGACGGGACGAATAATCAAGGCATCTTCAGCCCAGAGAGTAGACCTCGGATTCGAAATCAGACAGGCGCATACAATGCAGTCGTTTGTACGAGCCAAGGCCGCTCGACGAGCTAAGTGGATGAAGCCCGCTCAGGGAGACCCCCCAGTCCTCGCGGACGAAGATGCTATTATCCAACCTCACTCTGTCAAGAACGTCAGGGTATCAGCTCCCTTTGCTGGACGCGATGATTGGTTGGTGGAAAAAGTAATCATCGGCTTAGAGGATGGAGACATCCTGGCGGCCCCAACTACGTGGATCACGGCTTCTACGCCGATATTACCTATCGCTAATCCTAGTGCTACCCCCAGGATCATCAGGAAGGGAGACATAGTCGGGCACTTGTTAGATCCCAGTGGCACTTTAGATAATCCCTCCGAAGAGAGCACGCTAGCGCGCTACGTCGCGTCGGCTGATGCCTTGAGGAAAGTCATTACGGGATCCCTGAAGGCACAGGACTTGGCGGACGCCAAACCCACATCGCTGGGTCCAGACGATAAGCTGGATCAGGACGACGCTTGGGGCCCTAAAACGACAGCAGTACCTGAGGACTCGGTCCATGGGGATATCCTGGATGCAGTGAACTTGGGTCCTGACGTCCCGGAGCAATTCCAAAAGCCTTTGGCCGACATACTGCGTAAGAACGTCACAGCCTTTGGTATTGACGGCCGATTGGGAAAAGTCGCAGCTATGGTACCCATTCCCCTTAAGGAGGGTTCCACCCCGGTTTCCGTCCCCATGTACGCCGCTTCACCAGCGAAACGAGAAGTTATCGATAAGCAAATGAAGACATGGTTCGAGTCAGACGTTATCGAGCCTTCCGTCAGCCCCTGGGGTTTTCCTGTCGTGGTGGTCTATCGCAATGGCAAAGCTCGTCTGGCGGTAGATTATCGCAAGTTAAACGCGCAAACTATACCAGATGAGTTCCCCATCCCGCGCCAGACGGAAATCGTACAGGCTTTATCTGGCGCACAGGTCCTTTCCACATTTGATGCCTTAGCTGGATTTACTCAGCTGGAGATGGCTGACGAGGACAAGGAGAAAACAGCTTTCCGATGCCACCTGGGTCTTTGGCAATTTAAAAGAATGCCTTTCGGTCTACGCAATGGGCCGTCCATCTTTCAGCGTTTGATGCAGGGAGTTCTATCACCGTACCTGTGGTTGTTTGCGCTGGTTTACATCGATGACATCGTTGTGTACTCTAAATCTTGGGAGGAGCATCTCGTTCATCTGGACACCGTCCTAGGGGCGATCGCCGCTGCGGGTATCACTCTATCTCCCCCTAAATGTTTCGTTGGGTTTTCTTCTATTCTTCTGCTAGGACAGAAGGTTTCGCGATTGGGCCTGTCAACGCATCAAGAGAAGGTCCAAGCCATCATGGATCTCGCTCGCCCGACCTCCGTGTCTGACTTACAGAAGTTCTTAGGCATGGTAGTTTATTTTTCAACTTATATTCCCTTTTATTCTTTCATAGCGAAGCCATTATTCGAACTCTTGAAAAAGGGCTCTCGGTGGGATTGGCGGGCTGAGCACGAGTTGGCGTTTCAGCAGGCTAAAGAAGCGCTGTCAAACGCGCCCGTTCTGGGCCACCCTATACAGGGTTGTCCGTATCGTCTGTATACGGATGCGTCGCATGTCGCGCTAGGCGCGAGCTTGCAGCAGGTGCAACCCATTCAAGTCGGTGACTTGAAAGGAACGCCAACCTACGACCGTCTTGCAAAGGCGTGGTCCGAGAACAAGCCCATCCCTCATCTTTTTCCTATTCTAACCAAGGACGTCGTTGAGAGGCCTGCCGACGATTCTTGGGGTCCGTCTCTGGATGAGACTACGGTACACGTAGAACGTGTTATCGCCTATTGGAGCAGAACCTTCAAGGCAGCCGAGCGTAACTACAGCGCCACGGAGAGAGAGGCATTAGGCGCCAAGGAGGCCTTAGTGAAATTTCAGCCCTTTATAGAGGGAGAGACGGTCATCCTCATCACAGATCACGCCGCGCTTCAATGGGCTCGAGTCTACGAGAACGCCAACAGGAGGTTAGCGGCGTGGGGGGCAGTATTCGCAGCGTATCCAGGACTGCGCATCGTGCATAGAGCCGGACGAGTACACTCTAACGTCGACCCTTTGTCCAGACTACCACGTGTGCCGCCCCATAACTCCCCTGTTGTCGATGACATCCCAACTATAGCCCCCGACGAGAGCAAACAGGATAGAGCCCAGGCCGTCGAAGATCGTATTCACCGAGCGAGTGCGCCTCGTGCGGCGTTCACCGTGTCCTGTTGGGAGGACGTGGTAGAGCGCCGGGCAAATGCTACTTACTATGAACCGTCGGAAAGCCCAGCTCAGAGGGAAGCAGATCGATTGGCTGCCGCAGATGCAAGGACTCGCAGAGCTAATAAGCGCAGCAAATTCCCAGTTACTGAACCAGAAGTGGGAACTACGCCTGTGACGGAGGGACTCCCTTCATTAACGGAGCCTCCACCCACGGAAATAGTCGAAGAGATGGTTCCAGTCACGGAGCCCCCTCTTATCGAAGACAAGCTGCCCTTTCCGCTTGATGATCACTGGACCTACCCGATAGGAGTAAAGCCCACTTCGTCAACATTTGACGACGAATGTCTGAATAAACCTCATCTCCTCGTGGCTATGAAGCCCTCAGTAATCGCTACTTTCGCGCAGGGTTACCCGCAGGACAAGTACTTCGCTCCCAAATATATAGAGGACATTCCCAATCCAAAGACAGTCATCACTCCCTCCCACTTCCGCAAAAGCAAGAATGGTTTACTCTACTTCATAGATGCGGATTGGTCCGCTAGACTCTGCGTTCCGGAATCTAGGATACATTTCATATTGAAATGGATCCACGATTCCCCTTATGAGAGCGCACATGCAGGACCACGTCGATTCTTATCTAGGCTTCGAGAGTTGTTCTTCTGGCCCTCTATGCATAAAGACGTAATGGACTATACTAAGTCCTGCGACACCTGTCAGAAAATCAAAATTGATAGACGCGCGCAAGCCGGCAGCCTTCGACCCTCGCATATTCCAGCGAGGCCCTTCTCCACAGTCTCTCTTGACCTCATCACGGGCCTACCTTCGTCTGGTGAAGAAGGCTACACCGCTATCTTCGCCGTAATCGACAAGTTAACCAAATTTGCTATCTTCCTGCCAGTTCACGAAACTATGAGCCAAGAGCAGTTTGCAGATCTATTTGTGGAAAGAGTAGCCAATGTCTATGGTTTACCTGAGCGCATCATAGCCGACCGCGATAAGCGTTGGTCCACTGCGTTTTGGAAATCCGTAGTAGCGAATTACGGCAGTGTCATGGCTCTGTCGTCGTCGCATCATCCCCAGACGGATGGGCAGACTGAAATCCTTAATGCCACGATAGAGCAGATGCTGAGGGCGTACGTTGCTTCGGATCGCACGTCTTGGGCCAAATGGCTCAGTGTATTAAATTACTCCTACAACAGTTCTGTGCACTCATCCACGGGTTACTCTCCTCAATTCTTACTAATGGGCTATAAACCTCGGACTTCCACAGTTGGAATTACCCCCGAAGGAGACCCGGTTTCAAGACCGTTCGTGGCTAGTCAATCTGCGGAAGAGTTCATAGGCGAATTAGAATTCCACCGCGCTTCAGCCAGAGATGCGCTTGTACTAGCGCAGGAAAGACAAGCGGCAGCTTATAACAAGGGCCGACGCCCCGTGGACACACTTCAGAAGGGAGACTTAGTCTTAATCAATCCGCATACGCTCAAGCTCGTAGACGTCAAGGGTACAGGTCGGAAGCTAGTCCAGAGGACGATTGGACCCTTTGAGGTCCTAGAACAGATAAATCCTCAAGTTTACCGATTGAAGCTCCCACCTAACTATCCGATGCACCCCGTATTCAACATTGAGCATCTCAAGAAGTACCATTCTTCGCCGGATCGATTCGAAGGAAGGGAGACCCTGCCTAGTACTAGGGAATTAATCTCACATCCAGAGTACGAAGTCGAGTCAATCGTTGGTCATCGTTTAACTACGCAAAAACGGGGCAATCGACGGATGTACCTAGTTCATTGGAAAGGCCACGAGCCAGTAGACGACACATGGGTCTCAGAGTACGACCTCCGCAATGCTCCAGAGCTTACGAGAGCGTACATACGAGCCCATAATCTGTAAAGCTCGATGATATCACCCCGCCACCCATTCCTGTTTGCGCTAGTTTGGTGATTGATTGATGGATAACGATTTGCAACCACCGCCGTCCTTCTTCTTTACTTCCATCATCTTTTAATATCGCGCGGCTTCACTGTGTTGAACTAATTTCTGTACCCTTCGCGCGGCTTGCTCTGCGTTGAAACTATCCTTACACTCTGTAACCATCGCGCGGCTTGTTCTGCGTTGAAACTATCCTTACACTCCTTTATTCTTTCAATCTCTAAATCCCTTTACTTTATTGCTATGCATTCTTACGCTTCAAATTACCGCCCCACTCCAGATTCGCGTGTCACTTCTACCAGGAGGTCCAGCGCAACCGGCTACCTTGCTAGGCCATGCGTTGACTCCAGAATGATTGCGAAGTTACCTAAGTTTGAAATCCAATCACATCGGATCGTACAGCTAGGGGAAGAAGTTTGGGAACTGTGGTCTCCTAACGCACAGCAGCTTCCATTCTTACCCGGCTTGTTGGAGGACCATTTCAGCGTCGACATAGCTAGCCGTCGTTCTGACCAGCGAAGCGATGGGCATTTGGGAAGGTTTGACGCGTGCGTGTCGCCTCAGTTTGCGACTGGCCACCCAAGTTGGGCTCCCCATATTAAACGCGTGCCCACATCGCTATCGGAATGCCCTGAGTTCGCCTGCATCTTAGATGTTACGGACTCGCGTAGTTCTATCCACACCAACTACATTCGAGAACTGCAACAGCGAAACTCCCGCTTAGAAGCACGCATCGAGAATCTTAGAGCCAACAGTCGTCGTGACCCTTCAATCGCCTTGGAGGATGTATGGAAGTTCTACAATCCTAACCTCAGGCCAGACGATATCAGCGACCTCCGCTCCATACGATCCTTCGACAAAGCTCTAGACGACGTGACCCTGCTACAGCGGAAATTCAAATTGAAGGCTGCGTGGATAGATTGGGTGGAGCGGCAGCAGACTACCACTTCTTGGTCTCGATCGACGAATCGTCTCCCCGAAATGGCTGATGAGTCGTACATGGGTTGTTGGATCAACGGCCAAGAGGAGGAAGAAATTGATTGGCTTCTGGCGCACCGTATCCCTTGCTTCATCGTACATAAGTTAATGGGAGACGAGTTGGATCGCCTGTTAGACGCGGGACGCGGACCAAAACACACTTCGTTCGTTCGGAACACTCCCATTGAGAATCTAAGCTCCCCCCACAATCGCATCGAAACCTTTCTACGTAGGCAACGGGTAATAATCACCGAATCGGACAACGACGACAACATCGGGAACGAAGAGCCGTCTGATCCGCCCGAGGCGTTATATGCCTCCTTCTCCCTGTTCCATAAAGAATGGTCGAGAGGAGGCCCTGCTCCCATTGCCTATGCGGTGATTCCTAATCCGACCCCTCCTACCCAGCACGCATCAAGTACTTCCCCCTTACTAGGGCTGGACTTCTCTAGCTATGGAGCTGATCCTCTCGATATGGTAGAAGTGGACCCTCGTCGTGTAGCTTGGATTCGACCCCCTCCAGTCATGAGTCCTCTGAAAGGCAAATGGGAGAAATGGGCGGAGAAAAATGTGGAGGGTGAATTATTTGTGACAAGAGTGGGACGTTCTTACGCTGACTTCCACGGTGTCTCATACTTCGACCGATCTCGTAATCGGGAAATCATCCTATTGAGCGACGCACCGATACTTCCTGGAGCCATCTCGAAGACCGAAATATTCGGACTCCCTTGTCCGCGACACTTACATTTCGCAGAAGTACCCCAGAATAAGACACCGCGACCCGCCAAAGCGTCGTCATGGCTGTACTTGACTAAGGACCCAACTCCTGGGGATGTGGGCATGCAAGCAAGGCGTCCTCATGCGGAGGATCTTCCTTTCAAGGACGAATTCAGGACTGGCGCGTCTACTCAACCATCACCACCACCCAGCCCTGGTAATCCAGCGCCACCGCCTCTCCCTTTGCTCTTCAATCCTCTCGACTCCCCGGAGATTGGGGGCGTTCCAGATAGCGAGCGCCCTGTTTCTCCCGTGGACTCCTTGTTGGGATCCCCCCCGGAAGTAGATTGGGGCACAGACCTTGACGAGCCAATGGGACCGCACATACCATCCGAGGCTGCTGAAGACGTAGAGATGGGTACTGTGGACCTGGGAGACGTGCCCTCTCCTCTTCGGAGCCTTCCTAAGTCACCGACAGTCCCACCCCCCACTGTATCCGTTCCCAAACAGCCTTCGCCAACTCCCTCCCCAAGACATCGAGCCGCCTTCGAACCCTCAACGAGTGCGCCCGCACCTGGTGCCCCTCGCTGGAGCCCTTCTCAACGTGGCGGTCGTAAGCATGCGCATCCGTTATCTCGCTCTCCAACTCCTCCCCGAAGGAGAGGAGATTCTTACCGTCCTCGACCATCCCACAATGTTCGGGAAAGCAACCGTCCCCGCTTCCAACCGCCGACGCCCACTCCTAACGCTTGGTCTACAAGCAATAACCCTTCCAGCCCTTGGGTGCAGTTGCCTAACGCAAACCCTTGGTCAGCTCCCAACACGTTCTCCGCTGGTTTAAACCCGACACCGTGGGGCCCCCCTCCTGGTTATATGCCTTGGGGTATGAACCCATCAGCCCCTCCGCCGTGGTCCGTTCATTACCCTGGTTACTATCCCTCAGAGCATGCTTCACTATCGGGTTGGCCCCCTCTGGGATTTCCTATGATGCCGCAACACAACTGCGCCTCCTGTCATAATTGCGCCTCTTGTGGTCGTCCTTCAACGTCGACTGGAGAAGGGAACTCATCTCAGCATCCTTCTGCACCGATAGCGCCATCATTATTAGGTCGTCTCCGATCGCCATCCGCGGTAGACTCGCTTCGCATCGAACCAGTTCCCTTAGCGCAATGATTACGGGATCCAACGCCTTTAGTCGAGCGTTTACAACCACCTGCCGCTTCCTTAATGCAGCGAATTCAAGGGCCACCTATGGAATTCGTTCAAGGGTCCTCTTCCAGGCCTCTACAAAGCATTCCGCCAGTACCACTGCAACAACGGCTGGCTGTGAACTTGGAAGACGGGGAAGACGATTTTCCAGAGGAGGATAGGCCCACACCCACTAGTCGTGCACGAAGGAGTCGTAGATCAGGCAGGAAGCAGCATGAGGAGGACCAGCGAAGGATCGAGGAAGGCAAGAAACCGGCAGGAAAGGGCAAGAGGAGGGATCGGCGACGGTAGGAGTCATTCAAGTCTGGATAATTCGAGTCTGCGCGCAGGGGGGCACTGTAATACGGAGTTGAGGATACGCGCAGCCCCGCTTACTAATACTTGACTTATATCTGTTTGTATTGGCATTAGCACACTTAGACATAAACCATATTCATCTTGCTACCAAGCTCGCGTGAAGTGTGTCCTGTGTCCACTGCTGGTAAGACCAAAGGGCGAGCTCCCTGCATAATGCTCCCTCCTCCACAGGATATGAGAGCCCTCCTCTGGGTTAACGAGGGTCTGCCTAGGACTTCTAGGCAACCCTAGGAGACGAGCGCAACCACAACAGTTGCGTTCTCTCCTATCACTTCTATTCATCTACTCTACACTACGACATTCGACTACGGTACTACGAGACTTCACACGCACGAAGTCCCCGCACGCACTGAGGTTTCACACATGGCGTGGTGCTGAAGATGCATAAGCAGCATGCGTTGGTATGTGGAACATCGGTAAACTCACTGGCAACGGGGCTTGACTAGCTTTACTGGTGAGTACTAGGAGTACTGAGTACTGGTACTGAGTGGGTAGTGGATTACTTACTGTCTCAAAGGGTTGCGACGATGCGCGTTGTTGACAAGCTGTTTGTCACGGGCTTTGGCTTTGAATCCAAACAGTGCCTCACCCTCTTGGCGACGCAATCTGCTGTCCCAGCCAAAAGAAGCGACATTCCATCGTCATCTATCAGACCAAGCAGCCTGAAAATTCATACAACTGCCCATATTTTGAGCTTCTTCAATTACCGCAAGATGGAACTCCCTCAAGAATTAAACCCAATAAATTACATGTGAGACGAAATTCAAACGAAATTTAAAGGTGGCCGCCGTATAGTACTTTGCACCCTCCGTGGACAATGCTTGCCTTCTGGCTCGTGATTTCTATATATATATCTCAGTCTCTGTGACGAGGGTCTTTGGCCAAAAACATGTTCTAGCTTTGTTATGATCTCGTCAAGGGAGTTGAACCCTTGTTGAACGTACTTACTGCGTATTCTGCATTCTATGCAAAGATAAGTCATTTCTGCCTGTATTCAGTGCTACCAATGCACCAACCAAGACCTTGTTTGGATTAACATTCATGCTCTGAATGCCTCGGGGGTCGGAGGGGATTTATTCATGTTTAAGTAATGGTATTCGAGAGGTAAGATCGTTCATACAAGAAAATGTCGGAGTGTCGAGGTGCTGTAAATGTTGGGTCACATTTTTTTTAAAAAAGAAAGAGGGCAAAAAATCGATTTTGACATATAGACATTACTCTTTGTTTGGGAGTCAAACCCAGCTATCATATTTGCTGACACTTAGAGCCATCCAAGTGTTAGAAATTAACTGTGGGTGCCAGCCGATGCACCAACAAGGAACTTTACTTAATCGCAAGAATCACAATAAACAGTCATTTGAATTGAATGTGATGCCCTCCATCTGACATGAATGTTGTAATTCAAGTTGAAGAATCTCCTAATATTCAAATGGAGTTAGTAGCTAGACCACTGACAACGATTTTATCTGCCACTCCATGCAAAACTCATAACTTTGTCATCTCTTAACCCCATTCTCTGTCTGGGACTCGAACCCAGCTCTTGTGTGAATATGCACACAATGGACATTTTTTGATGTGTGTGCTGGCCAGTGCACCAACAGAGAGTCTTGCAACTTCCAACATCAATGCCTTCAAAGCATGAACTTACATTTGCAACACCAGAGCTAAGGAATGAGATTGAAACTTCAAGTGCTTTCCAGACATGTTATCAAAGATGATTTTTGGGGTGGGGATACTACAGCAAAGAACATCCAAAAAGAGATAGCCAACCTATCAAAAAAATGTAGCAACATAAATTGCTTTCATCATGATCTCATCAAGGGAGTCAAACCCTTGTCAGACTTACTTACATACCATGCATCATGCATTCTACACAGAAACAAATTGTTTCCGCCTGTATGCGGTGCTGCCAATGCACCAATGATAACCTTGTTTGGATTATAGTTCATGGTCTGAATACCTCAAAGGGGATTCACATTTAATGGTATTTGAGTGGCAGAACTATTTATTCAAGTTGGATCGTCCATGCAAGAAAGTGTCAGAAAGTTGAGGTGCTGTAAATGCTGGGTCAAAAACAAAATGATATCATATATGCACACAACAACAACTTTTCGTTTGGGAGTCGAACCCAGCTATCACATTTGCTAACACTTAGAGCCATCCAAGGGTTAGAAATGAAATGTGTGTGCTAGCCTTTTTGAACTTACATTTGCAGCATAGGAACAAGATTAAATCTCTGAGTGCTTTCTCAACATTTAATAAGAGACATGTGTTGGAGCGGAGATACTACAGCAAAGAACACCCAAAAAAAATCAACACACCAACAGTATGATTCAAGGGCTCTGTCTGGGAGTCGAACCCAATCTTTGTGTGGAATGACCTATAACTTCAAGGTTAAGTCAATCTTTACACCTGTGCTTCCAATACACCAATGGATCACTGATATTCCAATCTCCTTGTTGAATATTTCCTGATTTTCTCACTCACACAAGCTTGACACAAGCTTTGGCATATCAGTCCCAGCAAAATGCTACATTCCACATACCTTATATTTGTATGTAAAGGCTGAATAAGATAGAACAAAAGGCTTGAGTTCAATGAAATCTCGCCTGAGAATAGAACCCTTTGCAAATTGTCAGTTCCCGTGCTAAATATTGCACCCACAAACAGTTATGAGCAAGTTATGAGGCTTGACATGTGACATGGACATTCAATAACCCACACCTTCGAGGGATTCAAAGGAATCTGACTTATTTAAATTATGCCAAGAAAAAAAAAACCATCAACTCTCAATGGCCTGAGTACCTGTGAAGCAACCTTATTATAAGTATATCTGCTAGCGGGCGCCAATGAAGAGTTCGACGAGAAGTAGTTGGATCAATTTTGTATTGAGCTTTGTATTTTATAAAACCTCAAGGGGACGCTCGAAAGAACTTCTCAGCTTTGTATTTCATAAAATGTAAACAAGACAGAGGATGTGTCGACACTTGAACCCAGTTCTTGCATGTTTTAAGTTTGAAGCGCCCTTATCGACGTGCATGCAAGCGAATCACCATCAAAATGCTATTAGAATAAAATTCTGTTATAGGATTCAACCGAGCGAGTTGATAGTATTGCAGGAGAAAAGTTTGTTTTCACATTGAGTATAGGGTTCTCGTCTCATTTATTTATATCACAGGTCGCATCAAAGTCGTTTCTTGATTCATATGGGCTTTTGGGACTTTTAAAGCAAGCTCGCATCAAGATGTGATCAGGTCACATGAGCGTGTTGAAACGCCCGTGATCTTACAGCTGATTGCGAAACGATAGAGCAGCTCGGCTCCCGTTCCGTCTTAGCCATCTGTTTGTTTGCTGAGGCCAAACATCGACACCTTCCTGAGTCTTATCTACCGTCTACGTACCCTCACATCCCGTTTCCCTCCTCGAATAATAATGGCGCGCGCTGGTAATCGAAAACACATCCCAGAACCTGTCAAAGAAATGCTCGTTACCATGTCTCATCAAATGTCTTCAAAAGACATCGCTAAAGCTACAAACACAGGCCGAAGTACGGTCAACCGCATTCTTCGTCTTTACAAGGAGACAGGTTCAGTCGTAAAAAAGCCTGAAGTTATGGGAAGACCAAGAAAACTGAACTCGTTAGATACTGCTGTGGGTATTTTCTATTTCTTGCAACATATATAGTGATGATTCCGTTTTCAGTACCTAGAATCATGTATTGAACGAACTCCGGACATTTATCTTTTTGAGTTACGGAAAGAGCTACGTGAAGCCCGAGACATCGACGTATCTGAAGGCACTATCGCTCGCACGCTACGACGCCGTGGTTTTGTTCAAAAAAAGGTGGGATGGCCATTTCCTTTGCATTTCCTACTCCAATTTCACTGAACTCATCAATATCCCGTGTTAGGTCTCTGCCCCGGCAATTGAACGGAATGAAGAGCGTCGTGCAAACTTTCAAATCCGCATTGGTGAAAACTACCAGGCAGACCAGCTCGTTTTCGTGGATGAATCCGGCTGCAACAGAATCACAACAAAGCGAGCATATGCATGGGCTCCACTAGGTTGGAGAGCTCGAAGGCGGGATTATTTTGTCAGAGGTCAAAAGTGAGTAATCCCAGATCTTGCTTTCTCCTTCGTCGTTTAATCTTTACTCCAGATACTCCATTTTGCCTCCTCCACCTTGACGTCCAAAATCGGTCCTACACAGCTGATCTTTTTAATCAATTCATTGACAGCCTCCTCGATAACATGAACCCCTTCCCTGGCCGGAACTCCGTTATTGCAATGACGAAGCTGAGAAGCATACGAGACCGAGGTGTCAAGCTCATCCTCGTTGCCATCGGCCAGTGGACGCTTCTTCCCTTTTGTTGCAGTCGATTCCTTCTTACTTTTTCCAGCGCCAGCCCGCTAATAAAACATGTCAACGAAAGGTCAGGTTCAATTACCTCTAGACAGCCCACGCACCAAGTTATGTATTTCAAGAACAACCTCGCGTGTCCTAGCGCGCTTGATCTTCTCTGTTGCACGAGCCATAGCCTGGACATGATCCTCTGCATTGGCAAGCCGGTTTGGTGGGTCAGAAATGCGATCTCCCGAGAACTTGTAACCCAAAACTGCGTTGGCCGGGATGAGGTCCATATTAGCACATATCCTGTCGAAAAAATCATTCCAAGGAAGGTCGGTTGGTAAGCGGACGATCAAGCGAGTGACAACCCCATTTTCAACTTCTGTATTACGAGGGACTGAGATGTCGACATGGGTTGTGGCAACTTGGGCTGTGAAAGCGTAAGCGTGGTGTTATGGTCCAAGATAACAGGACCTACGACGGGCCGTGGCAGGACGTGGAGTAGCAGGGGCCGGCAAATTCTCAGGCCTATCATGGTAGTATGGCGGGTGGGCGCGTGGTTGAAACTGAGCAGGTGGGTAGTAGCCGTGGTTAGGATAGAGGCCGGGAAACACAGGGAAACCAGGGGGATACATGGCCTGCGGAGCAAACCCAGGAACAGCAGGGGGGGCGGCAGGTAGACCAGGTGGAGCAGCAGGTTGGACGGGGGCAGCAAGAAGGCCAGCGTACAGGTTACCGTTGAGGTTTCTGTTGTGCTGTGCCATTTGTTCTAGAACTGGATGGATGTCGGGGTGACGGTCGTGCATGCGAAGCCAGAATGAAGCACGGGGAAATCGACGCAGCATTTCTTGCCGCTCCGCCGCATTCAGCTGGAGTTCGTTGTTAGCCATGAGTATATAGTTGGGGAAAATAAGCACGCACATCAAAGCTTTTATAGACGAAAAAAAACCCCTTCTCCGAGCTCCCCTGCCGCTATCATCGAGGAGCTCCATATCATCAGTCCGTGGATGCTAGCCATGGTTCTAAAATACCCAAGAAAACCTAGAAATATTAGAATTTTGGAGTTAGTGCCATCAGTAGGTGCAGTGGGTGACCATCGGTGCGAGGGTGACAATTCATAAGCAAGAATGGAAGGATTTTCGCATTGCTGTAGAGTATATACATGCCATCGAGGAATTTAATTGAAGAGGAGAGATGGTGGAGTGTTCAACGAAGGAGAGTGGGGGGGATATGAAGGAGGACGATGGAGAAGTGTTACCGGTCCGGTCTATTTGGCTTTGGTGTGCGCCACATACAAACAAATGGCTAGGACGGAACGGGAGCCGAGCTGCTCTATCGTTTCGCAATCAGCTGTATCTTGACGACGTCAACCCACCCCCAATCGCTCTCCCCTTCTATGCCGCCTCATGCGACGTGCCTGCGTGTCCCAATGTTTTTCCTCCCCTGCGCCTCTTCCCCCCCACCATGCCACAACGAAACGGCCTTTATGCACGCAATCGAACGGCCACATACATCTCTGTCCTCGCTAGGCGAAGCAATTCCCGCTCCAATTTCTTCAGTCCGATAGGTGACTCTTTGAAAAGGGTAGGTTTTTTCATTGACGGTATGTTCTCACCTCCACTTGGCTAACTATTTCGCGTAGGCTTCGCGAAATTGCTATCTTGTTGGCACTCTCAGGCTCTGGTGCGTACCCCAGGGTAGACGAGGATCCGCATTGGGTTGCACTGTATGGAAAGGCGTATCGTGTGTACTATCGCTCACGCGGCCTCCTGAAGTGCTAGCCGCTCGTATCAGTTGCTGTCGCTCAAAATAAGTACTTACGTCGGCCTCCTCTTAGCTAACATCCCTTCTACTCAGAATGTCTCGACCGACGGTGACGACAACTCCAAATCGAAATTGTTGAAATGAGGGCTTGAACGTCAGAGTGTTGAAGCGTGCAGGACGGTTTTTAGGTGAAAAAGGACGGCTCGGATCCTGGGGACGACAAGTTTTAAAGCGAGGACGTGCACATTGAAAGGAAGGTACCTACTCTCTTTTCAAAGCTGTTGTACGCTCATAGACCCTCTGAACAGAATCCCAACGATCGCGAAATCACCCGACGACTCCGTCAACACTCATTCAGGCGCATATATTCAGATCTATCCTTATTTTCATCCACGTGTTCTTCAAGCACTGTCCTATCTCGTCAATTCCGAACGTGGTCACGGCGTACCATCGCGAATTTTAGTTGGTGCCAAAGGTACTCTTGCTCGCGTCGGCTCCGGTCAGTTGGTCTCCGATTTCGACCTTCTTTAGCTCGAGGAGCGTTGATTGTATTTTGTCGACGGTGGAACCTCACGCGCCAGCACCTCATTCCTCAGCTCTTGCCTTTACAACTACATCAGAGGGTGCGTATCCAGGAACTACACCCGATTTAAGGCGTCTTCACTGTAATCACACATTCCGTTGGTTGTCTTTCGAGCATGGATCATATTCAACCATAAAAGGGGACTGCTCAGGACGTCTTTGACCGTCCTATGTTGTTCGTTTCGATCCGTTACGTCTAGAAATAAGGTATCTGTTCGTGCATCAGCTCCTTGAAATTCAATCATGCGAGAGCAGGGTTCAACAGACAGAACAGTGCTAAATTCATTCAATATTCGCAACATTATCTTCCTCCTTGTACCCAACCATCCCTCCAAGTCACCCGCGATCACCACCTAAACCGCCTCATCATTCACGAACCACACGAAACCTTCCTAGCTGAAGTAGGGGCACTTTGTACCATCTACGAGGGAGGTGGTTCGGGCAACAACGCCTATTGCGTCATTGCTTGAGTACGTTCGCTTGCGCGCATTCTCCCAGGTTATAATTATTCGTGAGTCACTACACGCTCTCCGTCGTATTTGTATTCATTTCAACTGATTTCAATTTTTTTTTGCACAAAATGGCCTTCGAATTTTACGGCTCACGGATTTAATTACTATCCCACACCATTATGATCATTACTATTTCCGTCGTTGTTTCGGTTTGGATGGAGGTTAGGAGGGGACAGTCCGAGTACCAGTGGCGTGCGCGATATTTTTATGAGTTTCAATTTATTGCGATTGTATGTACAGTTTGTGCGGGTTTTTGTCCATTACCTCTCAGCCTGCGAAAACTTGGCATGAGATAAAATCCGCGAGACCTTCAATAACCACATTTTCCCCCTCCTCCCTGACCACCGTTGGCTCCCTTAAATTCCTCGTGGCCTCTCTGAAGGTCCTCCACCGAGGCTGTCATTGCTGTGCCTTGCCAGAACCTGTACCTCGCTCGGCGTCGTGTGCAACGAAGCCGAATCTCCACGCATCAACAAAGAAGTTGAAAGAGGGATTGTGTCATCGAGAGCGGAGAGAGAGGTGAGGAGAAGTGTCTGCGGCCGCTCGATTACGCATCTACGAGGCCATTCGGAATTATAACGAGAAAATGGATGGAGAACAGGGACAGGGGAGGCAGGAGACTGTTAGGCTAGAAGTTGGCAAGAGCAAGGGTGGTTCAGGATTCCTGACGGTCATGTGACCTTATTGCGTCTCCACTTCGTGTCGTCTCAACTCTTCTCAGCCCAACTCTCCGAACCCTATCCACATCCGCTCGGACGGCCTCTCTTTCGCGCTTACTAACTGGAACGCGCGTACCCCCACCAATACGTCCTGTATGCCTCCTTAAAATAATGTGCCGCCAATCTGCACGTCGCTATGTGTTTCAGCTTTCAGTCTTCATCGCGCTCTTTTGCTACGTGTATTGATGGAGGCTCCCATTGAACGTTGGGTTTCGGAAAGAAAGATGGGCGATGCATGTTGGATAAAGTCTGGGAAGGCAAGGATTCAAAGGTACGTTGTCAAGTAGTGTTTGATACTGCAACGTGGCTTACACCTGACATCCTCACCAACAAAGAAATGACTCACTGGTGACTAAATCGAATACCTGGAGAGTCGGTTCCGGATGAATCCATCACATGATGTCATAAACCCCTTTCCACGTCCCATGACTCCAGTATAAGGAGTCCGCTCGAGCTTGAGCCCAAGCCTTAACCACAACAATCATGCCAGTAACCTTTTCGCCCACATCCCTGCCCGCCGAATCCTTCCCTCTAACCGTCACATCTACACCGCTCTCCCCATCATCCCTCCTCGCCTCCACCTGCCCCCAACAATCCCGCCTCTGCGCCTCCCTCCTCCAATCCTCCCTCCCAGCCGGATCGCACAACACCATTCCAAAACGAAACGGTCTCGTGCACACCATAGTCGAAGCATACAATAGACACAGACACCTCCGCCTCCGCCCGGACGACATATGGACTGCCATCCTCATCCAATTCAATTTCTTCGTCAACGGGCGGAGTGAGCAGCTCCGGTCTCAGTTCGTTGCGCACAAGGGGAAGAAGGAGCTTGTTGTACATGCACAGGGGAATCGGTATACCGTCAATTTCGGCGCCATGGCGAAGGATATGACGCGGGAGTTGGAGAAGAACATTTTAGATCCCTCTTTGCGTGCGTGGATTCTCCCGAAATTCAGCACGACGACTACAACGGATACAATCATCGCTTCTGTGATTATGATGTCGAGTATGAAGAAGTACTTTGATTACAGGTTTTGTCTTGACTGCGGGATTCCCAGCGTTACGCTTGAAGGCGAACAGGAGGATTGGGAAGAAATCTTGCGGAGGATTGAGAAATTGAAGGAATATGGGGTGGAGGCGACAGGGTGGTGTCACTTGCTACGCCCTATAATGGCGCAGTTCGTGGCGGCGTTTGATAACCCGGCAAGTGAGGAGAATAAGGAGTTCTGGGGGAAGGTGTGTCATCGTGAGGGGGGAGGGAGCGGCCCGACCTATCTTGGTGGATGGGTGACAGCGTTCTGCGCATTTGATGAGGACGGAAAGTGGCTTGGACACAAGTTTAAAGACGGGGTGGTAGAGGTACGCTCGTTCGTCATTGCTCCAATCTATATTCACTTGTTATGTAGGCAGAATCATTGCAAGGACCAGACCCTACCGCCCTGTCCGCATCTGATTTTTTTGCCACCTACACTCAAGACTCAAAGACTTGGAGTCAAAGCGAAGCATTCCTAATCTTATCCGGCACGCGATATCATCTTGTTGACACGAACGACATTCCAGCAGGATGCACGGATGTCGATGTACTCGTTGACGACAACGGGGAAGAAATACCGTGCATGATGACTGCGGGTTTATTTGGAACTGAGATCTCTGGTGATGTAGAAGGGAAGAGGGACACAGTGAGACCGGTTTCGGGGTGGTGGATGTTTGAGAAAGCAATTGAAGGCGAGGGGAAGACAGATTGAAACGGGTTGACTCAGCGCTGGTACTTTCAGGGTTAGCGTTTTACAGCAATTGTAGATTTCGAGTGGTGAACCGGTGAACGGTAGATCTTGGGGCACAGGAAAATCTGCGTGCCATCTGCGTGCCATCTGCGGACACCTGCGTACACCTGCGGACACAGGTTGCGTGCCAGTTGCGAACCGAAAATATATATCTGCGGTCACTTGCGTGCATACCAATCCAGTTGCGTGCCAATTAAACCTAGTGAGCTGGTATCTGCGGGCATCTGCGAGCATCAGCGTACCATGTCGTGTTGATGTTGTGTTTCTCAAGCACCAAATTATCCTTCTAGTTTAATGTATCCAAATCTCTCTGATTCTTTTAGGATATGTTATTTCGTACCTATAGGTCTGTACTAAAACTATTTTTATGTAGAAAGATACAATTTTAAGTGAGCAAGGCTATGACTAGTCTAGTCAGCCACCGGCCCAGGCTTCTTATCATTCTTTTTCTTCTTTATTGGACGTGGTTTTGGTCGAGTTTTTTGCTTGAGACTTGTGTCGGGGTCTGGGACTAGGGTTGGTTTCGCAAAGTGAATGTACTTAGGTCCGAACTAGATCAAGGTTAGTCAATGTCCGGAACTTGAGTGACGGAGTCTCACCTCTCGTTCAGACTCACTCCCTGCTCTCTTCTTCCCATCCCCACTTGATTCCACATCAAAAGAGGGATCCCAACCCCCTTGGTGATGTCCTGCATCCAATCCCCACTGGAAATTTCCTGAAACGCCAGTTCGGTCAGTATTTTCGAACATTTCCTCCTCCAAGCTCTCCAAGCATTCCCTCTCAATGTCAATCTCCTTTAGTATCTTCGGAACACTTGTTAATTGCACGTCCCATGCCCTATGAAGGATCTCCACCTCGCTATACGTCTTGAAGGTGGGGTTTTTGGTCATTCGGTGTGCGATGAAGAGGGTATGAGCGTGTGCTATGGGTAAGAAACCCAACCAGGCTACCCGAATTCTCTTGTCTCTGCTGATATGAGTTTCGAACCAGTTGGCGATTTGGGCTCTCTCCGTGACGGAGAGGGTTCCTACATAGGGAATGAGGGTGTTTTCAAATGCCTTACTTTTGTCTTCAAGCCACTTCTTGGCGGGTATGAGATTGCTTGAGATTTCGGCGTTGGAACTATTCGGTGCTGTCAGCAATCTGTGTAAAACTCCTGCATGTGGTGAAAGAGCTTTGTTGACATCTTCTGTGTAGGAAATTGTCGATGGGTCAGAGAGGATGTCCTCTGCAGTCGGGATTTCATGTGCGAGTGTCCACTTTCCAAGCTAAGATTGGTGAGTTCGTTTCTGTTTAATAAATTTAAACAACTCACTCTTATTTTACGCCTCTCTTCACCCTTTAACCAGAGTGAATCTATGATTCCCCCTAGCAAGGGGGTCTTAGGATTCCAAAGTCCGACCAGGGGTTGGGTAGGTAGGTCGGCCGCAGGCCCAGAAAAAAAAAATGGAACCCTCTACAAAAGGATCTCAAAACAGGCCTGGAAGGCCATACCTTGCAGGTTTGCAGTGCCAATACACTCCAGAACATGTAGATCAGTCAGAATTCAATGATATTCAAGCTTTATATAATATTTCTTTAATCTTATCTAATCATAAATTTTCTCCACCAAGCGTCAACAGAAACACCCACCTCTTGTCATATCGGAAGACCATCGCACCGACATTCCTGCAGGGTATGTTTGTAGAAAAATTGCTAGTGGAAAAGTGACTCACCATAAGTGTTCCAGTCATGCAGCCATGGTATCACATCAACTTAAGGATGACTGGGACGAGCAGGAGTCGAGGGGCGCTGATTCAGACCAACGTGCTGACATTCCTAGAGGGTACATACAATGTTTGCCAAAAAAACGATTTGTTAGCGCAAGAGTGACTCACCAAGGTATTCCAGTCATGCAAGCATGGAATCTCCAGAACTCGAGGATGGCTTGGATGAGCAGGAGTCGAATGACACCAAATCTGGATCAGAAGAACAGACATCAGAGTTTGAAGAAGGGGAGAAGGACATGACGGGTATCGTGAAATCTGCAAACGAACGCGACGTCACGGTAGAGATTGAGGGTGTAGTAGGTGAAAGTGGGGACATGGCGGTAACAGACGTAGCAACGAATGTCACCATTGACGACATGGGCTTGGAGAAGAACAGCGTGCGTATCATCTATACTTAGTTGAACACGCACGCACTCACACGATATGTAGCGCCCTGCTCTTGGGCCGCCATCGGAGACCATCTCAAGCGCCTGCAATGTTAGTGACGCCAGGATAGCCGCAAGTAGTACCAACTTGGAAGAAAGTGGCCATTCTAAAAGGAAGCGCATTCTGAGGCAAATGCCAGCCTTAAACAGATGCCTGTGTGGAAAGGTGGCGGACTCACAATCGGATGGGGTTCTTGAATGTAAGAGGCTTGGCTGTGAAACACAATGGGTAAGAATATATTCCATACAGAAATTACAAGTCACTCACCTATATGCCAGTATCATCTATGTTGCATTTCATTCCACAAAATTGGGTGTGTGAGGCCTGTGAGGCAAGTAGAGGGACAAAGCGATCATGACAATGACATCACCTTACCATATATGGACATGTGCCTGATTACGTAGGTAGGTAGGTCAAGCTAGTAGGGCTTTAAAAAAAAAATCGACCCCAGGTCTATTTTTTTAATCCTAGGACCCCCTTGCCCCCTAGAGAGACATGACTGGTGCTTCCAGGTTCGATTCCATCATTCTCAAACTGACACCCTTGCCACCATCGTATGACCCAGGCCTCAGGGCCATCCCTCTGGATCACGCGAGCAGGATACCAGAACGTTCTGTTGAGAACAAGCGCACCACGGCCAGGTCTAGATAAGTGATCAAGATCTACCAGAAGGCAATTGGTGGCCGCTCTCACCTAAGGCGCTGTTTCAGCGGCTTGGTATGCAAGGTACGGGAATTCATGATTCTGATATGAAGTGAGTCGCTTCAAATTTCTCTCAGAACCATTGACTCACCTCTTTGATGAACTGCTACTCCGTCTTCCTGAGAACATCTCCTTTATGATGCTCGGATCGCAAGTATCACAAAGAAAAGTCTTCTTTTTTGGAAGATCACTTGCCCTTCCATCTCGCTGACAGCCAACATGCGACCATTCTCCACATTCATCACACTGCACAACTTCCCCATCGTCCTGATGATAGACAATGTTCCCATCCCCAGTGGCACCACAGCGGCAGTTTAAATCAAACTCGGAGTCAGGGAGTGATTCTTGAGAGTCTGGACATGCCAGTCCTTCCACCACTCTGCAGGGAATAGTCTTGTCCTCTGATTCCGGACCATCTTCCAGAGCCAGCGGTCTCTCTGGAATATATTCTGTTGTTCCCGATTTTTCTGGATTCAGAATCCATGTGCGATCCTTTGCTGGCATTTCTTGTAATCCATAAAAGTGATATGAAGCAGTAGGAAGGTTACCAAGAGTCCGTTCCGAGAAGTGCAGGTGATATTTGGCAGTATATTCCTTTGTTCGCATCTTGAAGAATTTATTCTGTGCTTTGATTCCTCCTCGAAGGCGATAGTATGCCTGCCAGATCGAATAACCCTCTGGAAGTTCGATGTTACGGCCGGTGAGATGTGTTTCGAGCAAGGCGGCTCGCTCTTCGACTGGGTATCCTTTGTGCTTTAATCCGTCATATGTGTAGACCTTTTTTTGATCATGAGATACGTATCTGGCGGTGAAGTGCGTTCCTCCAACATTGACAAGAACAAAGCCAACAAGGTCGGAGACTATTCCAGCCTTCTTTGCTGCAGCCTTCGGATCCGGGAAGATAGTTGGAGGAAAGTCCCATTGTTGTCTTTCTGGATGGGTAGGATGGTTTGATTTCACCGTTTCGTCGCCAACCTCAATGCCTAATATTATAGGAATTGAAACAACCAGTTCCTCAAGATCACGTCGTTGGCCAGAGCATAGACGATGCCCTTCATGTACCCGCCAACAATTGGTGTGAGGTGAGGTTGGAGGTTTATCCGCAGTGAAGCGTGCCTCGCAAACCTTGGAGATGAGTCCATCATATTTTTTGTAGTGATGGGCTCCAACCTGGAAAAATGGCACACGTCGGAGGGTACTTGTGACCTGGGTATGTCCACTACCAATTTCTGGGGATCCCGAGCATTGGCTAAGAGTGACAGCGAATGTCATGAAATATGTGACACAAGGTGAGCAAGCATGGGTAACCAAGCCTACATAAAAGGATAAGTCTTGTATATTATTATACAGTTTCTAGACGCACCACAGGCGAGTCAAATTGATCCAGCTCCTCAATCACAGCATTTTGTTTGAGAAAAAGTCGGAGGCGGTCCCTTTGCAAGCCCAGAGCAGTAGTTGCATTATCATCCTCGGGATCAAGCTCAAAGCGTTCATTGATGGCCAGATAAAGCCCATTTAAGGGAGAACCTGTCTCGAGAGAGACAAAGACCTCTCCGAACTCGGTGAACTTCTTTGTTACTGCAACATAAAGAACCTGAAGCGAAGCGTCAAGCCAACAAGAATTTGCCTTCCAGGGGTAGGAGGGTGGTCCAAAGTTGGACTCAATGGTGATCTTAGAAGCAACCTTCTTCATCGCGGTGACTTTAGAAGGATCCTTCCTTGGCGGTCTCAGGAGAAGCGCCTTAATTGTATCAGGTGGGCGTCCATCATTCTTCTTGCGCTTTTTAGCGTCAGGATTTGGTGCTCGAGTAGGTTTTGTTCGGCCAATAGCAGCAGCCTTGGCCTTCCATGGCTCAGCATACCAACGATCAACCCCAGAGGTCCAACAGTAGGGTGTGCATTGACCAATGCCTGGAAGCGAACCTGTTCGTCCTTGGAGATATGAAGAATATGGCCAGGTCTTCGATGCTGGTGAAATCCATCATTGACGACACAAACTCCCTTCGAATACGTCCAGAGGGTGAGCTTGACGTCGCACTTGTGATGGAATAGAACAGCTCCACATCGGCAGCGTTCATTAACTTGCTTTGCTACACCTTGTTGACTTGTCTGCGGTCGAATGGTTATGAAGCAGTCAGGGTTATCGCACTCGATTACTCCCAAACATTGCTTATGTCGCCTCTTTCCACCAGTCCAAGAATCTGCGAAATCGTCGCCACCACGATGGCCGTGTGTCCTCGAAGCCCAATGGACATGGAGGTTGTTGAGGTCGCTAACTTCCCTGAAAGTAAACTCGCGTTGGAATATTCCATCTGGCCACCCATCCCATTTCAATTCTGAAGCGTTCAATTCCGACGTGTTCAATGTGGGGGGAACTGGTGGAGGAACTGGTAAAGGAGCTCGGGGTGGATTTACCGACGTTATCTTTTCTTCGACAGCTAGCAGAGGTTCTGAGATAGTTTAAGAATGGTGGTTAAACTCAGAACGGCTTACCTATCAATCGCCGCTTGGTAGGCTCATCTAACGTCTTTCTAGGTCTGAGAATATAGCCAGTGACCTCTCCTATGTTGAATTATATAGCCAGAACAAAATTACAATTGACATGAACTCACCCTGCTCATCGTACAGGGGTACAAGGTCTCCCTGTGATTGAATCGTGGGTCGTCGACTCATTTCCGGTTCATCCGGGACAAAGTATTTGTATATATGTTTGAAGAAACCCTGGAAATGATTTGAACCAACATTTGAAAGAGGTTTTGTGTAGAATAATGGGTAGTAACTTACCAGAACCATTTTCGATGTTACCAGACGGAGGAGAAGAGATTCAAGTGCGAAAATTTTACTACACAGTCATAATGACTGAGCACTCGATCACCGGAATCAAATTTGAGACCATGTGCAGATTCGATCGCAAACATGTGCAGACTCGATCGCATGCCTGCGTTCCACCTGCGATGCACTTGCTTTCAGCTTGCGGTACACTTGCGATACATCTGCAACTCACCTGCGACACATTTGAGATACACTTGCGAGTATTAGCACCCATTGTGAGACTTGCGTACACCTGCGTGCAACTTGCGTACACCTGCGTGCAACTTGCGTACACCTGCGTGCAACTTGCGCATCACCTGCGATACACCTGCGAGACGCATTTGCATGCATCTGCGCACCTGCGGTCAACTTGCGAACCACCTGCTGTCAACTTGCAGAGTTTACTTGTGCCTTCACAGAATAATCTGACTCATCAAAACTGCAGGAATTTTGGTGCAACATATATAGATATCCTCCAAAAATACCACCAAACAGAGCAAGACAGATGAGACTATGCATTGTTAGTGTTCCACTCGAACACCCACATGACAATATCCACCTCACCCATTGAATTTCCTCTTACAATACTCGGTGCAGGCATTTTTTTGAATGATGATGAAGAAATAAAAATGGCACAGGAGTGTTTGGATGGGATGGACTTCAATGAGGATGATGGGAATTTTGGTATTGATTAATGTCACTGTGTTTTTTACTTATCTTTGGTTGTGATATGCATACTTGTAATTTTGTTGGGGTCTCACAGTACCTCAGAATGCATTTCAAGAATTGTTAGTGAGCTAGGTGTTTTAATGAGAGTGGAATAACTGTTATAACACTTGCAACACACACCAAAGGCACTGCAAGCACCGTGAGAACTTGTTGTTTGAGGCCAGTGAATTAGTTATGAGAGTAGAGCAAAACATTGGGTCACAACATGCATGGGGATAATTTTGTTGGGGTCTCACAGTACCTCAGAATGCATTTCAAGAATTGTTAGTGAGCTAGGTGTTTTAATGAGAGTGGAATAACTGTTATAACATTTGCAACACACACCAAAGGCACTGCAAGCACTGTGAGAACTTGTTGTTTGAGGCCAGTGAATTAGTTATGAGAGTAGGGCAAAACACTGGGCTACAACATGCATGGGGATAATTTTGTTGGGTTCTTGAGATGCTTTAGAATGTTCTGTAACAAATTTTGGTGAGCTGGGTATCATAGTGAGAGTGGAATAACTGTTATAACACTCCACTTACACTGTATCCAATGGACTGGGCTGGTGAAGCTGTTTCTGATGCCTTCATCTTCCTCCTCCCACCTCTCAGTTTCTTATCTCACCACCTTGAAATTTTGCCATTGCTCTCCACCAGTTTTCAACACCCAACAATATAACAGCAGCTCACCTCATTCCATTCACCATGTGCCAGGTTTTCTTTTTGAATGAGGTAGTCTTTGATGTGGTCATTAAGAGTGGAGTTGCTGAGGATGTGTCATTTGATGAGAGCCATGGGTGAGTCACTACTACTCCTTGGCCAGCGAGCTTTGCTAACCCATTCCCAACAGCACTGGATTGCCTCAACACCATGTTGTCAAGTGAACTGACAGTAAAATGTGTTTTATTTTCTTCTTGACAAAGTTCATCCCCAATAAATGTAGACATTGACAAGACACTATTTTAGTACAAATATATTATATTTTGTGTGAGCGGATGGACCTTCTTGGTGGAAGTGTAGTGGTGTCACTGGAAGTCAAGGGTTGTTCGGTATTTTCCTTGTCTGCACAGTGTTCAAGAGAGGTCCTTCTTCTCTTGGAAGGTTGCATCTTCTCAAGTGACTGATAAGTAGGGGTCTTCCTTTTCCTACCAAGACCATCTGAAATCTAATGGAATGAATTGAAAAGAATAGAAACATAGGATTATAGCGACATACCTTGGCTGGTCTACCTCGTCTGATGCAAACCTTTAAGGCGTGGGCTGGGTCTATCTTGTTTTGCTTGGATTCAAAAAACTGGGCTGGTCCTACCGTTGTTGTGTAACCTGCATCTCGTAAATCTATAAAGTGTTCCTAAAAAGACATAAGTGAATGGTCAGAATCCTGCAGTAGTGTAGAAAAGGGCTTACAACAGGACCATCCTTCCAGTCATCTGGGACTTTCGCCGTAATTACCGTAAAGGCATCAAGGTGAGAATGATAGTAAACAGGAACTTGGCTCTTGAATTTTTTATCGCAAAGCTTTCCTTGAAAATGATATGGTTCACCTAATGGAGTGTTATCAGCAGGGAGAGAAGAAGAAAATAAGTAGACAACATACCAATGGTATGGGACTTGTCAAACAGTCCTTCTTGAAGATAGAAATTGTAAAGATCGCACGGTATATCGACAGCAGCCTTTCTGAACACCCAGATATAGCCATTTGTATAGTTACGGTCAGAGGTCGTGTTGAAGGCGAAGGGGTTGGGAGAGTTTGTTGACATGGCACACCGTCGCAGAAACTCTGGGGATCGCCAGATCTCTGTGTATTTCAAGATCTGTTGCTTGAATCGCTCAAAACGAATATCATCTGAGCATATCCAGCTGCAAGGTGCACCTGGAAAAATCGCAGCATAGTGCAAAAAATCATTAGCGAGGTGCTGTCCAAATCCTGAGAATACTCAAGTGCTATTTTCTGCAATGACATCGACGATGGGTTTCGAAAAGCCAGAGGCATATTCACAGACCCCATCACGCCAGTTATCGAGAGCAATCAGAGCAGCCTCTCGCTCAAGAACCCAATCCGGACCATCTGGAAATGTAGTCCAGATGAGTGGCCATTCCTGCAGGTCATCGTAAAATAAAGCAAGCAGGTATCATACTCTGACTCACCAGAGACCCGACATCAAGATCTGCCTGCGTCCAATGTTGATCCTTGCTGATGACATGCATATGCATAAGACGTGCAAAGTCAGAGAATACAATAGCAAATGTATCAGCAACAATAGCCGCAAAGACGTTAATCGTTCGCTTCGCCTTTGAAGATGATCCAGGCTCAATAAACTGAGGGGGTGTCACAAAAGAGCGCATTCTGGACGCCTTGGTTCTATCAGGATTTGAGCCAGGGCAGTCGTTCTCGATGAGCTTAGTATAGTCGGCATGAGACATGATTGTGACCTTGGCCTCCAAGCCAAGGTGAAAAACGGTAAGATGCTAAAGAAAATCAGAACATAATCATAAAGTGATGATACCCAAGAGATACGTACATATCCCACCCCTATAGCCAGGCATTTTCCTCGTCTAGCCAAGCATATTTGCCCAGAAGATAATCTCCGATTGACGAGGTAGGCCCATGGTTGCCTAGAGGCTCGCTGAAGGTCAAAATGATTGGGAACATAGTCATCCATAGGCTCGAGTGATTCAGTGTAGCGGGAATTGTGGACAGAGATACTGGAATAGGGCTTGTTCTTTGTACCCAAGGTAAAGCACCTGGAGAAAAGCCGGATATAAGCTTTCGACCCAAAAGTAGGATGAGATTAGTGTCCATAAGTAAGATAGTCAAGTTTGACCTTACCTAGAGGCGTCGTTCCGAGCTTCTTCGCTTCGGCCTTGATTTTATTGAAGACTTGGTGAATTACAACGGAAACCTCGCCATCTTCCGGCATGATGTGAATGTGTAGAGTGGAGATGGATGGGTGGTAGAAGGGTTGAACGTGTTATGCGCGACGCGACTTGCAGTAAACGAACCGTGTTTAAGCAGTCATGTGTCGGCCCGTACCAGGGTTTCATTGTTGCGCGCAACCTCCGTAAAAGTCATTTAAATTGACTGCTATGTTATGGTAGACAGTACATATGTTTACCATTGACACCGACCTTTTCAAAGATCTGCGTGACACCTGCGATACCTGCGATCCTTTTGGAGTATCTGCGAGACGCTTGCGGTCACCTGCGAGTTGGCGGTCCGCAGGTGACCGCAAGTGGCACGCAGATTTCTGTATGCCCGTAAAATTGCACGTCCTGTGAAATCACCGCGCCGTAAGCGACTCGAAATTAGACTACTACATCGCGATCTACTTAAGGAACTGAAATGGAGGTGCAGCGTAATTAAAAGAAAACTAGACCGCATGATGGATATAGAGAGGGACAATGATGAATTCATTGCAATTAATTTTGTAGCAGCAGTAAAAGACAGATTGGAATCATTGGAACTTCAGCAGAAATATAACGCACTAGAGGATAAATTGAAGGCAGAATTTAGCAAAACTTTTGAACCAATTCCGCATGTCGACGAGTTACCTGATGATGTCTACTGTCGAATTAAATTAAAAGATGCTACAAGAACTATAAGCAAGAGAACATACGGCTGTCCACGCAAATACCGTGAAGCATGGAAGACACTCATAGACGGACATGTAAACTCAGGAAAGATTAGATTGTCAAACTCTTCCTTTGCTTCGCCTTCCTTTATCATTCCGAAGTCAGATCCTACGGCGTTACCACGTTGGGTAAACGATTACAGAGAATTAAATTCAAATGTGGTCATTGACAGTCATCCTCTACCTAGGGTTGATGACATCCTTGCAGATTGTGCAAAAGGAAAGATATGGGTGATGATCGATATGACAGATTCCTTTTTTCAAACAAGAGTGCATCCAGACGATATCCATTTAACTGCAGTCACGACACCTTTTGGCCTTTACGAATGGACGGTAATGCCCATGGGGTATCGCAATGCCCCCGGTATTCATCAGCGTCGAGTGACAGCAGCATTGCGGAAATACCTTGGAAAGATCTGCCATATATATCTGGACGATATCGTTGTATGGTCTCAAAACATAGAAGAACATGAGAGAAATGTCTGGTTGATTTTGCAAGCGTTGATTGATGCGAAATTATACTGCAATAAGAAGAAAACAAAGCTGTTCTGTTTCAGAGTAAATTTTTTGGGACATACAATCTCACAAGATGGGATTGAAGCAGATGAGAAGAAAGCAGAGAAGATAGAAAACTGGCCCGTACCTACTACGGCCACCGAAACACGCACATTCCTTGGTCTCGTGCGTTACCTGAATGCCTTTTTACCCAAATTAGCAATCCAAAGTGATATATTATCTGTTTTCACGACAAAAGAGGCTGAAAAGAAATTTCCTGAATGGTTACCAAAGCACCAGTTAGCATTTGACACAATAAAAGCAATCGTAACCTCACGAGAATGCCTCACGTCAATTAATCATGAAAACATGGGGAACAACAAAATTTTTGTAACAACGGATGCAAGCGATAGAGTTTCCGGGGCAGTCCTTTCCTTCGGCCCAACCTGGGAATCAGCACGACCTGTGGCATATGATTCGATGACATTCAAAGGTCCCGAATTAAATTACCCTGTTCATGAGAAAGAACTCCTCGCTATTATGCGCGCATTACGAAGATGGAAAGTAGACTTACTGGGATCCGAATTCCTAGTGTACACCGACCACAAAACCCTCCTGAATTTTGACAGACAAAAAGACATGTCTCGGCGGCAGTTACGTTGGATGGAGGAACTTTCAATCTACGACTGTCGTTTTGTGTATGTAAAGGGCAAGGACAATTCTGTTGCAGACGCACTGTCTAGATTACCCTACAAATACGTCGAAAAGAATGAGCAATCAAACGCAGAAAATGATGCAAGCTACCCCTTCTCATACCATGCAGAACACCCAATCACAGTATTCGCTCCCAAAGAAAAGCCAGCGATGTGTGCGATTGTAGCAGCGTTAGTCGATGCCGCACCTAAGAACTCATTCAGGGTAACGATAGACGACGAACTCCTGGCAAAACTTAAAGCAAGCTATAAAACTGATAAATGGTGTCAAAAGTTATTGCGTGCCAGTCAAGGTCTGCCTAGCGTCCAGAGCAAGGACGATCTGTGGTATATTGGTGAAAGATTGATAGTTCCAAAAGATTCAGGCTTACGAGAAATAATCTTCCGCATCGCACATGACAACCTTGGACATTTTGGTTTCCACAAGTGCTATGATAACATCTGTGATTCATATTTTTGGCCGAACATGCGCAGAGATCTGGAAGAAAAATATATTCCAGGTTGTCAAGATTGTCAAAGAAATAAAGCACCCACCATGAAACCTGTGGGACCACTTCACCCATTGAAGGTCCCTGATGGAAGATGTGAATCAATTGCAATGGACTTTATAGGCCCGCTGCCAGAAGATGAAGGATACGATTGCATTTTAACGATAACAGACAGACTTGGATCGGATATTCAAATAATTCCGACGAGAACAGATGTTACCACGGAAGAACTGGCTATTATTTTTATTGATAACTGGTATTGCGAGAATGGCTTACCTTTAGAAATCGTGTCAGATCGAGACAAATTGTTCGTTGCCAAATTTTGGAAATCTTTGCACAAATTGAGCGGCGTGGAACTGAAAATGTCGAGCACCAACCATCCAGAAACAGACGGTAGTAGCGAACGCACAAACAAAACAGTAAACCAATGTTTACGTTTTCATGTGGAGCGAAACCAAAAGGGTTGGAGAAAAGCCTTACCTCGAATTCGGTTTTTCCTGATGAACACGATTAATAAATCCACGGGATATTCACCTTTTCAATTGAAGTATGGCCACTCACCCCGGATATTACCGCATTTCGACAAATCTGAAATGAACGATAACGACGATATCGACGCATTGGAAATAGTGGAAAGAATTCAGCAGAATGTTGCCGATGCTAAAGATAACTTGATGTTGGCGAAGATCTCCCAAGCATATTTCGCGAACGGCAAACGGAGAGCAGAGATAAAGTACAAAGTGGGAGACAAAGTGATGTTGTCAACAGCGAACAGACGTCGAGAATTCAAAGAAAAACCTGGTGATGGAAGAGTCGCGAAATTTATGCCGAGATTTGATGGACCCTGGGAAATTACAGAGGCACATACAGAAACATCGACATATAAATTGAATTTACCACATACTACTAACATCTTCCCCACTTTTCATGCGTCGCAGATTAAACCATTTATTCCGAATGACGACGAAATATTTCCTTCTCGTAAGAACGCAGAAAGTCCGGAACCGGTCCTGGTCGACGGAGTACTCGAAAACTACGTGGATCGGATTCTCGATTTCAAGAAGAGAAACAGGAAACCTTCATACTTAGTCCGTTGGGTTGGATTTGGCCCTGAACATGACGAATGGCTCCCAGCATCGATGCTAGAAGACAACGAAGCCCTGGATCGTTGGATCGAATTCGGAGGAACTTCGCATTTTTCTTCTAAATCAACCTGACGGTAGCTTTTTCCCACGGGGTTTTTTAACGCACCCAGTCAGTTTTACTTACTTAGGTAAAATTTTTCTCTCTCCTCTATTTTTTGTTGCGTTGGCGTTGAAATTTTGTGGAGGGGGAGGGGTGTAAGGACACCTATTTGCTCATATTTACACACGTTGACACACGCATCCAGCTATAAGTAGATCCATTCTAGCTTTCGTCTTCTTCCTTCCTTTTTACCCTCACTTTACCTCTTATACACGATTTGGAACTGTTCACTCCTCGTGTGATCCAGTCCCGTATTACATCTTGTCGCTAAGTAAGCGATAGCGGTCTGACACTCTTCTTATGTTTCCAAGGGGGTTCAGGGATCTAAATGCTGGACCAGGGGTTGGGTAGGTAGGTAAGATTTTTGGAACCCTCTACAAGATAGTCCTAAATTGGTTTTCCAAGGTGATTTACAGTATTCCTGCATCTAGAATATCATTGTATAGTACATTATCTTGACTGGTTATTATATTTCATTATATCCAGCCCAATTTCTGGCTTCAAAATTGTTTTTCACAGTCTAATCTAGGGACTGTCATGGATACACCCGGGTATTAACCGTACCCGATCCACGGATTTTCCCACCCACAGATCAGATAAGGCACATTACGGATATATCCGTGGGTAAAACGGCCTGAGTGGCTGAGGACGTAGCTTCAGTTATATAAATGAGTGTATCTTGTTCATTTCTTGTCTGTTCTTTACAAAAAAAAATTGTGTTATGAAGCGAAAATTCAGAAGAATTCATATTAAAACAAAAGTCATTCATATATGATCTAGATTGAGTACAGTAAAACTAAAGTTATTTATATATCATAATCTGAGGTCTTTCCCTTTATATAATGCTGTTGTAACTGAGCCTTGATCACAGAGTGTGTTTTGGGGTGTGTATTAGCATGCCTTGGCCATCTTGAGAGTATTTATTTTCAGTATCAGAGAAATGCCTTTGAGAACAATTGATATTTATGTAGAGGTATTGAAAGAACAATTTTGGTAACATAAAGTGTTACAAAAAGAAATCATTGTCCATCTTTTTTTCAATCATTTGCATAACTTTATTGAAGCCTGGGTAGAGGGGGGATTTAACTCAGGATCTGAGAGCCATTTCCGCTCTGAATGTTTGAGAGTTAATATTGTGCTGGGTGAAATTGATCTGATGGTGGCCAGTGGAAAATGCTCGCTCTGCATCCACAGAAGTAGCTGCAACAATTGTTGAAAATAAAGGAACATAAGTGTGAATAATGGTGCTTACCTGGGGCTGAGCAGAAATCAGAACCCATTCGTGAGAGTTGTGGTCAGGACTGTGATGCATTATGCCAGTACATCATATAACCTCCCATTTTCTTGATTGTTTCCGTTGCTACCCTGGGTTCATCAAGGTAAGCCTGAATGTGGTCCTTGACAAACTGATTTTCTTTTGGTGCATATTGTGATTGCTTTGGCTAAAAATTGAATTCAATAACAGGATTTCAAAGATATTTTTACCAATTACCTTGTTTTCCTCCCCTCTTAGCTCATTCTCCTCTTCACCTGCATATACACTGTCTCAGTAATCACATACTATACTTTTTATAGACTTGATTTGTTGGACGTCATGACCATGGTCTTGAAACCATTTGACACTTGAGACAGCGACAAATATGTAGGGCTACATATGTAGAAACATATGCTCTCAAAACTGCAGGATACACTGTAATCTCTTTTGTTCTGATATATTTGCTCTCAATTTTCTAAGTTTG